AGATGTGGTCCAGCAGGTCGCCAGGCTCCAGCGCCTGGTGGTGGTGGTGGTGGTGGTGGTGGTGCGCCAGGGGAACGGTCGGCGTCGACGTGCACTGCACGCTGTTCATCGTGTGGTACGTGGCGTCCGGCTTGAACGGGTGGCTTTTGCCCTGGGACACGGCGATGTCCACGGCGGCCAGCGCCTCGGCCCGCGCCAGCAGCGTCTCGTCGAGGCTGGCAAAGAGGTTGCTCTGCAGCTGCAGGCGACAAAAACCAAACAAAAAAAACCACACCACAAAACCGAAACAACAAAGACAAACACAACAAGCCGGAGAGCACAGGCAAACGGCAAACACAAAGCAACCAAAATAAGGACAACGGGAGTAGGGAGGAACCAGGAGCGGGAAAGACAGCGTGGGGACACATTGGGGACACAGTAGGAGGACGGACGAAAAGGGACAAGAGCAGAAGGAGGGGGTGCAAATGCAGGGAAAGGGCGACACGGGAACACAGCCCAAGGGCCGGGATGGGGACACGGAAAGAAAAAAAAAGAAGAAACAGAGCCGTCACTCGCAGCAGGGACCAGCGTCACGCACGCCCTGTGACTGGATTTCAGAAGCACGGCGTTAACCGAGAAAGTGGAGGGAAGTGGAGAGTCGCTGTCCCAGGGCCCGCCCGCTCTGACCGTAAGCGCCCGGCCGGAGGCAGAGGCAGACAACAAGGAGTCTCCTAGCGGGATTCCTCGCGCAATCTCGGCCCACACATCCCCGCACCCAGACGGCCACGGAAGCCGGCGACCTCCGGGCAGCGTGGCGGGGCCGGGGCCGGGGCCGGGGGCGAGGGACGCTTACCGGCGGCGTGGGCAGACAGGCCCGGCGGATGGCCTCGGAGCTGGAGTGCAGCGACGGGTACTTGTGCTCCGGGAGCGTGGGATGCATGGCAAAGTGCGGCTGCTTGCTGTTCATGGACATCATCTTGGAAGCTTGGCAAGTAAATCCACAAACAGTCCGAAAGTCCCCGGAAAAGTGTGCTCGCCGACTTCTCCGGCCCCCTTGTCGACGCTGGAAGCCCGGCAGCGGGCGGCGCGAAGGCGGCGGCCGCACTGGAGACTGCTGCCGCCGCCGCCGCCGCCACTGCCGCCGGGCACTCCCTCTGGCCGCGCAGAGCGCCGCGCGCCGGCCTCGCCGTCCGCCTCTGCGAGAGCTCTAGCCCCGCGCGCCGACGGGATGCGCTCCTCTTACACCTGAGCCTCACTTCTCGGTCCAGGGAGCTCTCGCGAGAGCTCGCGGCCGTGCCGCGCTGTCAAGCATCAGCTGTCTCACTCTGTCTGGCGCTCGCTCGCTCTCCATCTCTCCATCTCTCTCTCTCTCTCTCTCTCTCTCTCTCTCTCTCTCTCTCTCTCTATTTCTTGGCGGCGCCGTGCGTCTGTGCGCGCGCGTGCTCGTCCAGCCGCGGCCAACGCCTGGGAGCCGATCTTATAGTGACCACACGCAAGGACAGCGCAGGTGATGCACCTGTAGCTGCCCAGGCATGCGCACTGCACGTCTCACCTTTTCCCACCGTGCGTTTGGAAAGAACAGAAGGGCCAGCTATTGTCTGAGGGTGGGCACCTTTTATAAGATAGGAAGACTAGAGGCTAGTTTGCCCCTCTGAGTTTCTGTTTTACTCACTAAAGCAAGCCCTAGATATATATATGCATCACTTAGGCACACCTCCTCTTCAGGATGTCTAACAAGCTGTTTTTTAAATAATGTATGCAGCGGGCATTTGTATGTTAAATTATGCCCGCTCATACTTCTGTATATTGTATAAATAACGAAACAGAGAAATGCAAAAGGCGCTGTCTTTTGCAGCTAGAACTTGTATTTTTCAAGGTTTATAAATAGGTTCCTGGAGAATAATCGCGCTGACAGACTTTGTTTGAAGCCGTCAGACAGACGCTTTTGATTTCCATATAATTTAACTTTCTCCTCATACTTTGTTGCTGTTGTTATTTTGAATATAACTGTGTCAGGCACCACCAGTGACAGTCATCAGGAGCCACAAGGAGCGCGTGCTTTCTCGTTGGCTGTTGAAATGAAATTGTGCCTTTCTTTTATTGTCTGTCTCCTTTAACCGTGTACAAACTCAGGTTTCAAACGAACTCCAGGTGATCTGAGGCTTCTAGTAATCAAAAGGAAAAACTAGTTAACAGTTAGGATCCTTTCCTCTCCGCGGAAACACACACACACACACACACACACACACACTTTATACTGGAAACGCCAGAAAATGAAATTGCTTCAGAGAAAAGGGAATACGATGTTGAAATGAGAACTTCCCCCCTTACATCGTGTTTGCTTTTTTTTTGCTTCTATCTCGGCATATATATATATTTCTTTAATAGAAAACAAGATCAAACTAGAGTGATTAAAATATTAATTCAAACCAATTTGAAAGAAAGGGCCCAAAACACTGGTCTAGCCTTTAATTAAAAAAACACACACAAAAAAAACCTCTGTAAAATCAAAACCTATCATGAAGCGTCAATCAATTAGCCAACCTGTTATATGGCTCTTATGTGGCAGGTGGATCAAGGACCTCCCCAGGGAACCACAATTCAGGTGGCTGAGTCCCCAGGGATACAGCGCTTGCCCCTGGTGATAATAAAGGCCCAGATGTTATCACATTTGCGGCAAGGGAGCTGGAGAACACTAAGGGGCTGCTTATTAAGAGGCCCAGATCAGATAAATAATCTGGTCTATCCCTTACGAAGGAGATGTGTTTCCACCAAAGAGCAGATTTCATTTCTATAAACCTAAATTTGCGTTCCCTTCCGATAGATTTTATCTCTCCTTTGCACAAACGCGTGCGTATTTAGCATACACACTTATGACTCAGATTCCAAGAGGAGCCCACAGGCGTCACCATGGCTTTTTCTTTTCTTTTTGTCCTCCTCCCCCTCCCCTTTCTTCTTAGCCGAGAGGGAAGCGCGAAGGATGTTCACTTGCTAGTGCGAGAAGGAGCTGCGTTTCCATCCATTACGCAGTCCCCTGAGAGCGCTAACTGCAACTTTATCTGGACTAGGGATGGACGATGAGAGAAACAGCGAGACAGCTGTGGAGGGGGCGGGCGAGGCTTCACCGGGTGTCCACGCTTAGCCTAATCCTTCCTGACACCTACGGCGGCTATATTCTGCCCTCCAGTACCGAAGGAGGAAGGCTCTAGGCTAGGCTACAGTGATAGCCAGGAATCTCCCCGAGGGAAACGCTGACCTTTAAAATCTCTGAAAGGTGCAGGAGAACATCACCCCAAAATGCGCACAGGCTTGGCGTGAGGTGGCATAAGGTCGGAGGTTTGGGCTAGAACCCCTGAGCACACCAGCGCACCTGGTATTACTCTTTCCGGTGTTGGAAGGGCAGCAGGAAACCCAGCGGGGAGATACCTGCCCGGCTTGAGGTAGGGCGACTCCATCTCCATTTACGGAGAGAGCTCTCCCTCCTCCCGGTTCACCTTGTCTTGCAGTTCAACTGGAGTCCCCGCCCACCTTGGTCAAATCCTTTGCTCAGAAAATTCTGCTTTTGGCTGGGTCTAGAAATGTCAGGGGTGTGAGTGCAATCCCCACCGACCAATTGGAAGCCCATTTCAGGCACATCTGCTCTCCACTATAGCACTTAGCAGGGTCCCTGTCACACAATAAAAGTACACCATCAAGTAACATATGTAAGCAGGAAGGTCTCTAACTCTGCTGAAGAGGGACAAGAGAGTGTGACAGTTACGGATTGGGTCCAGCAGGAAGATTTCAAGGGGTGTCTTCTCCGACTAAAAGGGAGATGGAGACAGCCAGAAGGGCCAGACAATGCACTGCCATCCAGTTGATTCTGACTCAGAGTGACCCTATCCTAAAAGCAAGCCTGCTCTTGTGCTTTTTTGAGGCTACCACAGGAGTAGCTTTACAAGAAGAAAGCCTTACCTTTTTTTCTTCAGCCAAGCTGGTGGTTTTGAACGGCTGACTCAGAAGTTAGCAGTCCAACTTGGAGTCCTCTCTGCCACTATAAATCTGGATTCTAGCCTTTTCTCTTACCCAGAAGCCACTGATTCCTCCTGCTTCTCCTTCATTTTCTTTCTATTTTTCCTTCCTTCCTTAAATTCATGCTCAGCACCACTAGGCCTGCGGAAGATGCTAGTGATAACATGAGGTATAAAATGTGGGTACCTATTCTCCCCAAGATGACAGTGTGGGGTGGGGGTTAGAGATGAAGAGGAACTGAGGAAACATTGTGATGTGAGGAAATTGAGTAGAAATATGGCTCAAGGGTGATGCTTGGACAGTGATCCTACCACCTCTCTGCTGGACCTCAAGTTAAGTAAAGAGTAGGGCGTACTGGGACTCAGGGTTCCTTTCCCATTAAAGGTCTCTTCCCTTACATTCGGAATCGCTTTGTTTTCCTGCCTTGGCAACCCTGGTAACTGGTCCCTCTCTGTGCTAATGATGGCCACATGGGTTTGAGCCTTGGCATAGACTCCTGGGCATTTGACCCTCCTCCCCTTCATTTTGTCTAATAACCAACACAGAACCTCTAGTCCCCAAAACCCGCCCCACCCCTCCATCTTTGCATTTTGTGAAGAGTGAGATAACGAAAGTACAGCTATTAATTTCCCAGGAATTTCCACCTCCAGGAAAGGAAGTCTATCATCTGCAACAGAGACACATTTCTTTCCTCGTTATTTCTTCTCCCCCTCCTTCTTTGGCAGGCCCCACTTCACATTTCATTTGGCAGCTCCTCTTGTCCGAGTTCAAGAAGCAGACCTTCCTTGGTCTGGCAAGGACCGCTGGGCACTAACCAGCACTGCTGGGGGTAAACTCTCCCAACGTTGGAACGCCTCCTAGCTTCCCCAGCTCGAGCAAGCGCAGACACCACATTCCCTTTCTCCTTCCAAACTGCGCAGGAAGTTAACGCTGTACTCCACAGTCACTTGGACCTCCTAGGACCCCTAATCTACCTTTTCTAGTTGAGCCCCGAAAGTTTGTTTGTCCGAGTTTAGGGACAAGGAGTCGGTCCTGGGGAAGTCCAAGTAAGTGCACACAAGGTAGGGGGCGGGCCCACAACTCCATGCCCCTGCTCAAATCCCTGGACTCTGGGCCAGTACCCAGACCCTTGGCTCCTGCAGAATGGAGGTGGAACTTTGCGCAAGAAATGAGGCACATTTCACTGTACAGCCTGCTTACTATATGCTGGACGATCCCCTCTCCCAACACCACCCAGTCTAGTGTAGGAGGACCTCGGAGACTTTGAGGGCTCTCTGAGACCCTCTATGAAGGAGCAGGATGTGAGGGGGTGACTGTGTGAGTGTGTGTGGGGGGAGGTGGTGGTGGTCAGGTTCAGAGAGACACAGTGTAGGGGTGTGTGTGTGGGTGTGTGTGTATGTGTGCTGGGAGTTCAGCTTCAGGCCCAAGGATGGAGTTGGTATTGGTGTGGTAGCATTGCTTTTCCTCCTGGCTGTCTTTTCAGGGACACACCACTGCAGCTTTGATGCAGTCTCTTAGAAGGAATCTCACCACTCCCAGTTATGCGATTCCCACAGTGACAAATAAGGGTATCCTCTCCAGGCACAGAGGCCTCAGACCTCCTTCCAGTAGCTCCCCGGACCCAAGACCCACTGCACAGAGCTTACACAGACCTGTTCTGAAGCCCTGACTGGTAGAGCCCAGCAAAGCACCAGAAGGAGAGTCCTGGCAGAGCTTTGAGATTCCCAGAAGGCACTGATTGACCCCTCTGCCCACCTGGCAGGCCTCTCAACCCTTGACCCCCCTCAGTTCCCAAAGCGCAGGTGAGTGAGTTATTGGGGGGTCTCCAAATTCCTCCTCTAAGGCTCCCAGATGCAGGGTCCCATTCTAGCTTCGAATGGAGAATCCTAGCCTTGCATTCAGACTGGGGCTGACCAAAGAGTTCTCTACTAAAACAGTTTTCTTTCCTCTGACTCAAAAGCCAAA